CCACGTTTATTGCCACCGATGTTATATACAAATTTTGAGAATTTTACAATAACTTTATTACTACTCACCACTTTGTAATTTTCAGCCAGTAAATTTTTGTCAAATATGGGTGTATAATTATCATCTAAACGGGAATGATGTTTTTTCAATTCATCAATTTCCTCATAGCCAATATGATCATCGACACAACTCATTGTCTCGATAAATCCCGGTTCCACTTTTATTTTCAATTGAGAGGTTACTTTTCTCCTTCCTCCTTGCGATTTTGTATAATTTTTGTGACTATCTCCCAAAAGTTCTACAGCTGTTTGTATTGCCCTTTCATAAGGCGAGGCAAAAAGGTGTTGAATGTCAATATGCTTGAAACTAAATTAATTGGTTTAGATCAGTCTTACTTCTCGAGATTCTTTTTCATCTCGAGAATATTTCCTTAAGACAAGTCAACTTCCCCGCAAGTCCACAAGTGAGTCGTAATTTATTTATTAATGACAATTCTTGATATCTTGCTCAAATGCCGAGACAAGACTTATACTCCTACTTTTAAGTAAAAGCTTCGCGAGGTGATTAACTTAAACTTACACGATGTTTAATGCTGCAGCCCTTTCCATCCCTCTTTGATTTAAAGGGGAATTGTCGAGTGAAAATATTTTACCAGAGTCTTCATCATAAATGTGTCCAGCTATTTTTGCCCTCTCTTTCACTTCTTTATCATTATCAAGTCTTTCTCCATGACGGACAAGCCAGATAACTCTTTTAACTTTTGGAAAATATGGAATATCATTTTGATAATCTTCATCTATAATAAATTTCATATTTAATCTGTTTTCATTTAAATTTAAAAACTTCGCTTCCCAAGCCTTCAGTTTTCGAACTAATATTTTTATTCATAGGATATTTAGTTCGATCGAAATTAAGACCTGTCTTAAATTGAGATTTAAGCTATTTTTAGCTTTAAGCTATTTTCCTACAAATAATTGCTAACACTCGATTAATTACATCCTCTAACGGGAGGTTAGGTAATCCAAACCTACCTAGATCTCCATTTACTGTGACATTCTGTAATTTGTTCTTTAATGTTTCTTGACTCATAATAAAAGTCCCAACATTAATATAATTACGTAAAAATGAATGTGTTACGATCGAAATGTTTGTATGTATTTCTATTGCAATTCGTTCCAACATTCCATTTAAATTACGAATCATAAGATCATCATCAAAATTTTTCTAAAATAAATATATTTCATTCATATTCATATGCTAATTTTTATAGTAAAGCGGTCAAAACCATCCGAAAAATAGTAGGAAATAGGATGAGTTTTGATCTGAGAGCTCCCCGCGGATCGATGTTCAATCATCCCATTATCGTTTGTTAGTTAATAGGCTAGGAGCAAATAATGATTATTTATATTAAAAAGATATGAACTCGGCAAGCATTGATGTTTACAGAAAATTTAATAAAATATTGGTGAACCCAGTTTAAAACTTTGACAAATAATTTAAACGCACTTCAAGAAACTTTTGAATAAGATATTCAGCAAAAGTCAAATATGCGGAATTTAACGATAAAGTGAAAGGACTAAGTTTTCGACGCCATCTATTATATTTATCATCCATATAATTAAGATAGCTATTTTTAATCCTTTCAATTATTTTCGTGTTTCTTCGTGTATTTCTTCCTGGAACACTCTCGCTTTGTATGTCCTTGTGATCTTCCTGCCAATTGCTCAAAATTGAGTAAATATTTTCCCAAGATTCCCCAGATAACCAATCTCTCAATGAAGTTGCGTTGTCTTGAAGAGGGGAATATTTTAAAATATTTTGGTTATATTCTTCTTCAAGATACGTAATTGAATTTTCACGCCATTCATTCAGACCTGATTTTTTAAACAAATTTCTTTGCAAGTTTTTCTTAAATTAAAAAATGAAATAATTAGAAGGGTTGTGACAAATTTAATAAATTACAATAGCTTTAATTTTCTCTAGGCATTGGTTAATATTCTCAGAAAACGCCAAATGTGGATTCATGGCTTCATCCATTGAAACAACATCATCGCCTAAAATTTTAACACAATTATGTAGTCATCCTATTTTTAATTTACGAGGAATCGAAGGTTTTCGGTAAAATGCATACATGTAGCATTTTGCCATTTTCAAAACATCATGCCCCATGATTTCCACGTTGTAAACTATTTAAAAAACATATAATTATTCTTTAAAAATTTTATCAATTGAATTATGTTAATTCGGGATCAATCCAAAAGGTAAAACCCAAAAGGTTTGCCAGTTTCAAAACATCAATTCCGTTCCGAGTTGGAAAAATCGAAAAAGCTAAAAACGATAATTAAAGAAAAATTTTTTTTTCTTTAATTTTTAATAATTAAGGAAAATTCCCGTTATTTTATTAAATTACCTTCTTGAAGATTGGCAAAAATAAGGAGAAATATTAAAACTAACATTTCAACTAAAAAATTTAATTTAGCTTTAATTTAATTTTGCTTTAATTCTTATGGCTTTTTTGTATTTTAATTAACGACTACAATGACAGTCGTTAATTTCATTAGGCATTTATATATATGATTGTCTAAAAAATTGACAAAAAATTATATAATTTACCTCTAAAAAATGTATCCTATGCCTTTTGAATTAAAGGCCCTTATAAATGGCAATTTACAAAATACAAAAAATATTAAATTTACAAACTACGAATTTAAAAAATATAAATCGATGCTTTATATGTAATAATAAAAATTAAAATCTATAAATATAATTAAAATTAAAATTGGCGGTAATCGGCAATTAACCGTTTATTAACACATAACTCTGATTATTCTTTAGAATATTTTTCCCTAAGTTAATAATGTTACTTATAAGTAATTTATTGTGTGCGTTTAGAACAGAAAAACAGTTTTTTTCATCTTCACTTAAAAAATAGCAAAATTCTTTAAAAATATTTTGGGTAGAAATGGTTAGAATGAGAGAGAATCTAATTTATCAAAAAATAAAGATAGGCAGTAGTTTTTTCGGAATCAGAATCATGTTATTGTATACTATGTTCATGCAGTGGAAAAATTGTTTGGATGGGAGATGACATAGAACCATTACGGAAAGAGCCCAGACCGAAGCACATCCGACAGTGCCACCATCCAAAAATTAAGAAAAATTAAAGTTTTTTCAATTTTAAGATATTAAAAAAATAATTTTACAAATTTAAATAAAAATCAATGTTTAAAAACATTTATTTTTGAAAAAATGAAATGTTTAAACTTAATTTCACAACCACGGATTCGAACCAATCCTCACAAAACATTAAAGAAAACCGGCCCGGGGTCGTGCTCTACTCCTAAACCACTCAACCATTGATAAAAACTTTAAATATTTCTTTCCCTTTTCCTTCAAAAATTTAATGACAAAGTACGAGAGGGTTTTTTCAGCAATAATATTTTTTCGTAATTTTTATTTTTTATTTTCGTAATTCGTAATTTTTCATGATATTTTCGTATTCGTAATTCGTAACTCAAAAAACGCAGTAAATCGTAATCGTAATTCGTAATTCGACGCAACCCTGATGCGAAACAAAACATCCTCGCTTGTTGCTTGTCATCTATAACTATCAACTGTTTTTGATTTTTGGGAGAGAGCACACAGAACCCCATTTGTGGCATTTTTTTCTTATTTATTTTCTTTTCACATCGGCGTCTTACACTATCTGGCTGCTCACACAGAGTCTACGCTTTAATTCTGCCCGCACACAGCACAGGACGATACTCACAGGGTCTCTTCCTTATTTCTCTTAACAGTGAAAGCATTTCAGATCATCACAGCATTTGACGGTTCGCTTAAGTTTCCTCGGTCTATGCCCGGCCTGTCCGACTGCGCCATTATAATATACTATGTTCTTGCTGTGGAAAAATTCATTGGATGGGAGATGGAATAGAACCATCACGGAAAGAGCCCAGACCGAAGCACAACGACTGTGCCACCATCCAGCCCGATAAGGGTTATTTATTTTCATTTAAATTCATTCTGCAAGTGCGAACACAACACATGTTGTGTTCAATACCAACTTTATATTTGAATTAAGAACTCTACTTCATCACAATGTAATAATATAGAATACTGACTGCGAATGACAGAATAGGACAGACAAACAATCAGCCATCTTGATAAAAAGTTGCAACAACAACAAGGCTGACATGGTTATCCGCTAAAAAAATTTTTAAAACCGTTTTCAAGATCCTGAATTCAAGGAACTATACATGGTGTTGTATGTATTTATTTTTGAAAATAAATGTTTAATAAATTTATATTTATGGTTTTTTTAAGAATTAGTATTTAAAAAATTTAAAATGAATGTCTCTATTCATTTCTTTTCAATTTAAAGGAAGGATCGAGTTAAGAAAAAACGCAGGCATTAAGATGCTGGCGTGATTTCCGCCAAATACTTATTGCAAAAAAATAAATAATAATTTATTTTTATGGTTTAGTTCAATGCACTAAAATTCTCTGTCTACACTAATAATTAAAATTCCTCTTTATTTATTACACAATTTAAGTGTCAAGACTATAATATTTCCACGTCAAGTTTAGAAATTAAATAAACTTTTTGCGAGCTTATTATAGTGCCCTTTGTCTATTTTTATTAAGCATTATTTTGTCTATGTATATCCTCCAAAAAAGAAATACGCTTTATACATCTTTCAAAATTTATTCCCCTATGAGAATTTTACACTCTAAAAAATTAATAGTAAATTTACAAACTACAAATATTTAATTTTTAAAATTTTTATTAATAAAATTTTTAAATTAAATTATCTAAAATAGAAGTTTCCATGCAGAATAAAAAAGAACTTTTGCTTTGGAATTTCTAAGAGCATAAACAAATGACTTAAAGTGCCTAATTTTTGTTTTAATTTCAATGTTTTTTTAAATTATGTCTGCGACATTCAATCAAATTTCTATTGTAAAAAATTCTAATTAAAATATGTTGAATATACCAAAGGTTATGTGCGAGAATAAAGGAGAGGATCGACGAAGTGCATGAGGCCAAACTTAATTTGAATATGGAAAAAATGAGACAACAATATATTATAACAAATAGTATAGATTGAAAGGAGGGAGACTGGATATTGGCAAAATTTGAGGAAAACAACAGTAAATTCGGAGATAAATGCCAGGGCCCATACCGGAAAATTCGAATTGAGAAACAGAACCTTGTAGTTGTGGACAAATAGAAAATCCCAGAGAACCATACATGAGATTGATGTAAGAAATACGGCCGTGAGATATCCCCATGTCTAAATGAGAGTGAAGAGGAAGCTATCGAAGGAAACACTATTCCAATAATTGTACGGATAAATTATCTCAAATAATCACTTTTCATCACCATAAAATATCGATATTTCAGATCAGATAAAATAATTAATCATAATCTTATTATGAATCATGCATCGCAACAGATTAAGATACGATTGATGTGCTGCGGGAAAAAGAAGTGAATTTGAAAGCTGTTAGCGTTCAAAGATGGGTAATGCGGATAAGATTCAAACCGAAATTGCTTGACTTGGGAGGAAAACGAAATTTTGGAGAGAAAAAGGGAAAAAGCAAATGAAAAGACCCAAGAAAAGTATAGAAAAGACTGAGGAACACGTAAATAGGAAATTAACCGAAGAAAGGAGTAAAGAGTAAAGCGGCATCAGCTAAGGGACCTCATGGAATTCGAGAAAGAAAATGCGATTAAATTTATAAGTAGGACTTAATCTCTGCTTTCAGATCTGGTCAGCCTAAGGAGAATCAGGAGGAAGCAAGGCGCAAGCGAGAGGAGAAAGCATGGAAAAATACAGCAGCGGGGGGCCCGTCCCGAGAGGAACGAAAAATTGAGGGGCAGATTACCAGAGAAGTGTGTGAAAGTTACTTTGTGAGAAGGTGGAGGTTTCATGGAAATGGGAACAGTTTAATTAAGGAGGGGAGACAAAGTTATGACGAGTTGGTGAATGAAATAATGAGAGACCCAACAATACTGACTTCGACAGGAACGAAGTGGAGGAAAAATAGCAAAGAAAAACCAAAAGAGATTGAGGAAGAAAGCCAGAAGGAAATTGGGGAAGTGGATACGGACTAGGACAGCGTAAATATGAAAGGTCACCAATGAGATATGCAGGTCACCAATGAGATATGCCCAAATAGAGAATGAGAGAAGAGTAAGAAGTAGTCAGACCAGAAAAAAACACACGCGTCGGAAGGAAAGGAAGCTGATGGAGGAGTGGAAGATATTGGAAGAAGTCAAGGAAGATGAAAAGAAAAAGAAGGAAGAATAGGAAGAGAAACAGAAGGAAGAAGAAGAAAAGAAGATGAAGGAAAAGTAGGAAAGTCAAAAGAAGGAGAGTGAGAAAAAGAAATCAAAGAGAAGTGGAGATCTTCTTATACCTGTTAATCTTCTTATACTATAGTAGACTCGATAGGTATATATATACAAGTGGATGAAATAATCTAAGATAATTTTTAATTATCTCCAATTTAAATGCATTCATAACCTCCTGTACAATTAGTTGAGCCGATAATATTCAGATATCCAAAACACTATTTTGTATCATAATTTGACTGTGGTTTTTCATTTCTTTTTTGTTTTAAAAATAATTAAAATAATCAGAAAAATATTTAAGGTAAACCAATTAATAAACAAACAAAATAATCAAATTTAAATATTAAGTAAAGCAGAAGACATTCTATTATTTTCTTATTTTATTTTTTACCCACAATTAGCTTAAAACAGTGAGGATTTTTTATATTTTCCCTTCCCGATACCGATTTTGCTGATAGCGATACCGAAAAGTAAATACGATTTATTTAAAATTTAAAAAGAGATTTAATTTAAAATAAAAATATTTGGATTTATTTACAATTTAATTTTAAAATTTAATAAAAGAGGTTGATCTGCGTTTATCGTTAACGTTTTTGAATTGATTCGCGGTTTATTTCAAAACATCGGGTTTGAGTTTTTGGTTCTTTCACTTCTATAATATTATAAATTATTCGATCAACAGGAATATTTGTGCGTTAGGCTTATAATTAAGATAATGCATTTTGATTGTATTATAATGGATTAACAACGCTTGGGATCTGATTATGAATTTTAGGTAGAACATGAATTGGACTCGTTTGTTGTTGTATTCCAAAGCATTTGAATAAAACAAAATGTTTAATTTTATTGAGTTCCTTCATATAAGCTTTTCGGTAGTCACAACTTAAAACAATAATTATCATTTTTATTGTATTTAAGGACTTATGTTGTACTATTTTACTAGGCAATAGAGGTTTATGAATACTCATCGACCTTAGGAGACATGAATATTAACTACTTTGGTTTAAACAAAGATAATGAGCCTCCTGAGTTAAAAATCTTTTTTATTCAATTAACAATAATGTTTTGTATAGTAACAAGTTACCGGCCCTGACGTTTAAGATAAACAACATCGACAAATCTAAAAAGCATTTAGCAAATCTAAAAATTACTAAACCTATTTATAAAAAGAATAAGAGCATTAGTTGCACCTCCAATATTCACAAGTACCATAATAAATATTTGAAGCAAAAATAAATCTATTGGACTTGCGGAGCTATCAGCTAGTGGGTGATAAACAAAAGTTCCAATCATTAAACCGAATATATAAAAGCTAATATTTACACAAATTATAATAAGTATAGATCTGTAGATCTTCTTCATAAATTGTTCTGATGTGTCTAAACGGGGAAAATTTTTTTTTTGAATTTTAATAGAGCCGAATCCACATAATTTTCACCTCTCAAATAGAATAAACCTAGTAATTTATTAAAAATTGCCCAGCATTATTCTCCCAATGTTCCCCTATGATCAAGTTGAATTGAGGTTCAACTCACATGAAGATAAGTGATAAAGGAAAAATCCCCGTAAATTACTACCTTTTCTAGTTATTAGAATCAATCCAAGCAAAAAGTAACAAAATAGCGGTGGTATGTACATATACAGGCTCGATAAAAAATTCATAATTTTACTATCATAGGTAATCATTGCCAAAGTATCAGCTATATTTCCTGTTACTGGCCAGTCAGGATATTGAATAGCAACATATATCATTCTATAAAGTATGAAACAGCTAACAATGAGTACTACTGATGCATGGCAATAAATATAGTGTTTCTTCTTTAGATTCTTATAGCTGAAAGGTTTACAAATAATTTAAATTCTAGTGAAATATGGAATGCATGCTGATTTAAAAAGGTAGATAGAGATAGAAGAGATAGAAAATAGATGAACAAGATAACACAAATCTTATGCAATCTTAAAGATCTTATCACAGATCATAGCAAAGATTCCCTATCAAAAGGTTGAATGGCGGAAATTAAACTCCTACCATATTTAAATTCTAACAGATAGTAAATAAACTTACTATATAGGAAAAGCCGCTGCAATTAATCGGTCTAAACTAAGCAAACTAAACATAACCAACATAGAGAAAAACCCTATCAGAGAATGTGTTTGAAATATTACAGCTATTTTAAACGGAATAAAATTTATTCCGCTGCCAGATACGATCAGAAAAAGGAAATGTGAAGATTCGTGTAAAATTTCGAAGCAAGAGTTCATTATTAATAAAATAGCAGTTTTGCTTCCAAGTGCTGAATATTTTTGTCTTAAAAATAATTTTTGTTTGATAAATTTTGAATATTTATTTATTCGTTAATCTACCGATATTTGTGAGTAATATAACAAATACTAGAATTGCAAATAATTCCAACAAATCCAACTATTGCTAATGGCAGTGCTTGCCCAAAAAATTCCAATTTTATTCCAGCATTCTTATTTGCCAAATAATTTGACTGAATTAAGGATTTAATTAAAATTTTAATAAAACTAATACATCAGTTAAAGGTCTGCTCATTTCTATACGAAATTATACTTGAATCTTCCTTCTTCACAATTCGAATTTGTTATTTTTTGTTAATATTTTGCAAATTTTTCTTAAATTTCTATTATTAAACTAAAGCTATTTCAATTTAGATACCGTATTTCTTCTAATAGTGCATTTTTTCTCAACCTTCCTCTAAGGGGTCGGTTTATTAGAGGGGATGGTCTATTATAGGCAGTCGCACTATTAGAAGAAATACGGTATCTCAACCCTTAATTGAATGTATTTTTCTTTATTACGCCTCCACAATTTGTCCCAAGCTAGATGGCTTCTAAAGATTTTGAGAATACTTTTTTAAAAGACAATGAAATGTCACAAATAATTAGCAATTTTGAATTCAAAGAAAAAATTTTAAATATTAATTCTGTTTCGCTTTCAGCTGCTTAATTATTGTTTAAATTTCAATATAATTGTTGGTTATTTTAATAAATATCTTTTAAATACAGATGTCTAGTAAAATAAATGTAAACAAAATTTAATAAATATTTAAATAATTTTAATAAAGTGCAAGAAAATAATATTGAAACAAAGTAAAAATGGAAAGAAAATAACATGCATAATTTCTATAATTTTGCTTCATATTTAGATTTTATTGTTACAGGATTTTAGTGAGTAAATTGAATTCACGGATCATTAATAGGGTGCGACAAAACATGCAAATGAATATTTTGCATGCGGATATGCCATGAGCTGAAACGTTCAAAAATGGTTTTTTACGTCGCTACGAACATTAGGGACTGGGTTCCTATAGCATATCTGTGCATATTTAGGTAAATCCGTGCATATTTGCATTTTTGTGCATATTTTGTGGAATTTTGCATATTTTTTTTAATTTTCTGCATATTTTGATCATTTTTCTATAAATCATTTTAAACATTGATTGTCTCTCTTTTTTAACATTTTCTATGCACAACAAGGACAGAAGACCCAGAGACAAAAGATACACGAAAAAATTTTTACTGAAGGTTTAGAATAAATTCTGTCTATGGGTCTTCTGTCTAACATACTTAATAGTGATAAAGACACATGTGAAATAGAGTTTCGACAAACTCTATTTCACAGTTTCGACAAACTCTATTCGGTGGCAATAAACGTGGCCCTGCATTTTTGATATTCTAGGAGATTGTAACTTAGATTACTCTAAGAGTATTTTGAGTGAACACAACTTTGAGCACTGATTATTTTAATAATACCCATCTAAAATAATTTCTTAAAACAAAGGCCGTAAATTTGCTTCCTAATGTATTAATTGTATTAATTAATGTAATTATCATTAAAGGAAGAAGCAGGAAATTCAGATATGGGTTGTGGTAGACGTATTAAAGATGCTTTAAACGGATTGATGAAAAATCTTGAGAATGAAAAATATTTAAAAGATAGTATTTTCTTTAATTCAAGTTTGCTTGATCAAATCAACGAAGGCTCGTATAAAAATTATTGGATTCAGCCCGGGGAGGAAACTGCTGGTATAATAATTTTATTTTCCAATTAAAAATTGAAGTATCCCACTGAATGTCGGCGAGTGATTTTGGATATGTGGGTTTGGATGAATAATGGGGAGTGATATTGGATACACGAGAATTACAAAGAATATTAAGGAACTTGGTTGGAATGATTGAATATAAGGAGTTAGTAGGGAAAAAGGGACCTGGGTCAGATTTTTGCGTTTTTTCGTTAATTTTGTCAAAAATTGGCGGTTACTGGTTTTGGCGCAATGTTGGGAGTTCTGGGTAGGAATGTAAATATTATAGTTATAATTTTTGAAGATCAAATTGTAATAGTCTCACATGCATTGCCAATTTGTGCGGTTCATAATATTGCTGCAGGAATTTATACATATGCGCCTCAGGTCTAAATAAATAAAATTAAAAATAATTTTAAAATATTATAGACTTCGATTACAAAAATTGTTGAACTGGATCAATCAAGGTATTAAATTATAGAGGGTCTCAATTTAAGATCATTTTTTTTTAATTTGGTATGCAATAGTGATGTTCGGGAGAAGAAAAAACTCGGGAATCGGGAAACGGGAGTCGGGTCGGGAAATGACCTCGGGAGTCGGGATCGGGAGTCGGGAATTTTCAATAAAAAAATTTTTATAAATTTTTGGCGCCTTCGGCGCCAGAAATTCTAATTTTTTCGTCGCAGGCGTGAATTTTAAGAATTTT